TCCGCTGCGGAAAGGAGCCGGGCGGCAGTGGAAGCGGAGGGCTGCTGCGGTCCGACGTCCTCCTTCCAGTTCCAACCAGAGCAGCCCCCATTAAACCACAATCAGGAGGCTTTTAACAGTGAGGCATTATGACTCCGCAAGCCAAGCGACTCCGCCGGGGCTGCCAAGGAAACCCAGGAGGAGGAGGGAAGCATTACAAGATCCGAGCAAAATTTCACCAAGAGCCTATATAGGACAAAGCTTGAGGCAAAGAATGTTTTAAAAGGCTTTTATTTCAAAAACTTTTGTTACAGGATTTTGCTGTATCCTTATTCCCCCCCCTCCCCTCACCTTAGTATTTCTAGCTTTTCCAGCAACCATTGGCAGCTTTTACAACAGCAGGAGCTAATCCACCGGGGTCTACCTGTGCTAGTAAGAGGAATAACACTTCCCAATGAAGGAACTCATCCTATCATGAACAAACAGCCGGGGGGGGGGGGAGAATGAGAACAGAAAAGCCCAGCCTAAGGCAAAAACGCAGTTCAGATGCAGGGCAGACAGCAGAGATGAAGATTAACCTGCTTTTCCCAATGAGTTTTAGGCCTGTTTCAAGTTGCACACCACATACGTTGGCTGCTTTTCGGCTAGTTCCTACCGTCACCTGGATTCCCCCTTACACTCCCCCAGCCCGCCTGGCACGGGGCTCGCCCAGCAAAGCTAACAGCAGGGGACTTCGGGACAGGGAAGTCTTTGGCCCGTGTCATTTGCAAATGGAGCAAGCTGGACTCAAGTTGCGACAGCTGGATTTGAAAAAGGCTGAATATTATTTCATTACCAATAGCGTTCCCTGAAGTTAACGTTTCTCACATGAAACGGCATCATAGTCCACAGGTACTTTTATTTATGCAGGTTACGGTAGGGTAAACATGCCAGAGGGGTCACGGGAGAAGTCAGATGGGGAATTTTTCTGCGGCACCCTCTCCCCATCAGACAGAATAACTCATCTGTCCGGTGCAGGAGAGGAGAAGAGCTGAGCAGAGACCGCTGGCGGTGTCAGGGCCAGCCTCCCTGAGCAAAGGGTGGTGCAGCGCGTTGGCCACTGCAGCTACGGGAGGTCCAGGACAGGGAGCAGATCAGCTCTGAGATGTACTGAGAGCAGCCCACGGAAAAGGCGAGCCCTCTGCCCCGGGAGACCCGCTGCTCAGACAGGAATACTGCAGTCGGGCAAAACCACGTGCTCCAAAAGCCGTGCATAAACACAGGCGAGAAGGACAGAGGGGAGCGCGAGAAGGACCACGGAAGAAATCCTGGTCGGACACTGCTAGGAAGCTCGCTCAGCACGTTTCAGACCCGTTGGTGCCGGCGCCATCTGCTCTGACCCTCCCCTGAGCTCCCATCGTGGCCGGCAGGCTGGCCAGTCCGTCTGTCCAAGGAAGCTTCTGGAAAACCAAACGGCATCTCTGTCCTAGCCGCGCCGTGCACACCCACTTCCGTCACGCTCACAGGACTTCCTCAGCGCACGCAGTAAGAAGCCTCCCCCTCCCACTGATGGAAAGGGTTAAAAGCCACTTACTTTCTTTCCAGCTTTCAGCGTTCTCGCTGTGCATTTCGAGCCCTAGCGGTTCCCGGCCGGGCCTCCCCGGCCTCCCACTCTCCTTAGGCTGGGGACAAGAGGCGTCCCCACAGAGAACACACACCACTTTGTCAGCAAGCAGCCGGGGTAGCGCGAACCTGCCCTACGCAATCTTGGGCTCCACGTCCCGCTAGAAGCGACGCAGCTCCCCAGCGCTCTACACACGCACAGAACGAAACGAAGGCTGATGAATTCTGTCCGTCACGTTGACAGAAAGATAATTTGTTGCCCTTATCAATCTCTACTGTCTCAGGCCAGGCATGGGTTTGGTCACCCCTGAATCAAATTGTTATAAATCGATATTGCTCATTGGCTAGTAGTTCACCCTCCCTCAGCTCAGATACGAAGGAGGCATAAGGCATCAGAAAAACCAACTCAAAAAGCATAATGTTTCTCTCCCACTTCCCATGGATAATTAGCAAGACAAGTGGAGAGCGACTGCAGAGGTTGCTCAAACTGTAATCTCCACCAGCTCATGGAAAAGCTAGTAAAGTTACCTTTTGTTTCCTTGCATTTCGTGTCCCACCCTTCCCCGATCGCTTCTGTGGCATGGCACAGAGCCTATACAAAAGACACTCTAATAAATAAGCATTGTGTGGAAAAGAATCCCAGCTCCCAGCACCAAAGCAGAGGCATCCCAGTCTTGCAACAAAGCAGCACAGTTCCCCCAGAATATCTCACTGCCTGAAAAGACAGACCATTCTACTCAATTTTCAGTGCCCCTCTTCCTTCTGTCAAGGAAAAATAAAAGTCCCACATGCAGCAGGGGCTCTCTGCTTGCTACGGTACCTGGAAGCACAGTCAGGAGAGGTGAAAGGAGAACCAAAAGATGGACGCTGTTGTGGTGCACAGCAGGCTGCATGTTGGCAGGGTTTTATTTGGATGTCTAGTAACAAGTGAACTCACTGGGAAGATGCAGAGCCTGGGCATGGACAGTTCAAGAGAGATTTGAGTGGGTTTAGGTTTTTGTTTGGGCTTTTTGCCCAGGGGTTTGGATTTAAGTCCTCTTGTTTTTCCAGGAGTTCACCCGCCATGTAATGTTGAGATGAAAAGCACATTATCCTGGTCCTGCAGTTTATAATCCAGCTCACCCTGCAGGTCAAGAAAAAAAAAAAAAAGGTTTAAATGTCACTTCAAAATACTAACTGCAAAGAGAAAGCAGCTCATAAAAAGATGGGGAGCGTTAGAGAGTGCAGAGGGGAAAGACTGAGGTTTTAGCCTTAAAGGAAGCAAAGGTGAGAAATCAGACAAGGAGCTGGCATGCATTATCCCAGGAACACGCCACTTTCTGGACCACGGTATCGACAGAACAGGTGGTTGCTGGAGGCAGGAAAATAGTGACTATTGTCTAAGCTCAACAGTGGACTGAGAAGGGAAGGTATTAACCAGTTGCTAGTTTGGGTAGAAATCTCCCCAGGGTTGTCTTCCCAAGCTATGCAACCACCTTACGTTGGTGAAAGGGGTCTTGCAACTGCAAGACAGCATCACAGGGCTGTGATGTTGTCTGGAACCCACTAAGTTGTTATCCCAAGCGTGGGCGAGAGCAGCTCAGCTCTGAGAGGTGTAAAGCCCGTTGCTAGAGGTCAGGGAATATGGGTGATCTCTTTTCAAACACCAACTGGTTGATGAGACTCAGCAGGTTAGATAACGGCTCCAGGCTTTCGAACAGCCACTGTGGCACAATACATGGAGAGAGATCCCAGTCCACTCCTTCCCCCTCAAATATTAGATGCTTCGCTGGGGCAAGAATCAGAAATAGCTTCTCTGAGAGCAACCACAGACAGCAGTGTTTTCAACAAAGAAAGTCAAACTGAAGGAGTACAGACCATTAGTTCCCAGTCTGCGTCGTTGATGAGCACCAAAATTCCTGGCCTCCTGCAGAATACAGAGAAATAATTAGGATACAGGGCTGCTAAAAAAAGCTTCACAAATAGTTAAGAACAAGGGATTTAAAAGCACAGATCACAAGCTGACTGCCTGTAAAGCCATAGAGAAAAAGGAATCCTAGCACAGAGGTGGAAACAGGTACAGTCTGTGCCCTTTCTAGATCAAATAAAGGGGAGGCAGGAGCAATCCCAGAGCTCATTTGAATCAAAATGCACCATTCCTGAGGATGCTCCAAGACGACTACATTTCTGTAGGACAGAGAAAAGCCAGGTAATTAAAACCCACGCACAACAGTCGAGCGCAGAGAGCTCGATGCGGAGGTCCGGGAAGCTATTCCGGTGCCCCTACCAAAGGCAGTAAACACCCAGATCCACTCGGAGCCCATGATTACAGGCAAAGGGATTCCCCCTCTTTGATCTTCAGTGTCCTGCAATTGTCTCTCCTGTTACCAGGGGACCTGGCACACGCTTCAGCTCACAAAGATCCGCGAGGAATGTTAAACACCCCCAGCGCCACCCCGCAGTCAGGGATGGCTTACACCGCTCACTCTGCTCCATTTCTCTTGGCTTTCCCCCCCCCCCCCCC